GACGTGAATACCAACGGCTAAAAGAAAAATACGTGTCCAATATTTTCGAATTCTCTAGCTGTACGTAAAATTTGATCAAAATCCTTTTGTAAGTTCATTCTCAGTGATACTTGCAGATTTTGATTGATTTTTAATTATGGATTAATCGAAGTTGAGATGAAATTTGCAAAGTTGTTAGTAGTTAGGAGTGAGTTGGTAACAACCAGAGTGTCGAATTTTTAAGAAAGGGATAAGAGCCTGGATTTTCCATCGAAAATCGTGTCCAGGTACTTTCAAATTTTCGTCTACTGTTTTCTAATGCTAAATATTCGAAAAATATCGTGGGTATACTGGTAAAACATACTAATCTTAAAAATACCCGTTTTCACTTTATGGTAAAAGAAATATATAAAAATATAGGCTAAATCGTAATTTAAGAAATAAAAAATTTGAAAAATGAAAAATTATACATATTGACTATAGCGTGTTTGACCAGTAAATCCAGGGTATATTTTCGAGGTAAATGAACCTTGGCCGGCGTACGCGAAATAACGCGTTTATATTGCATTTTACGTGAACGTGTTAAAGTGCAATAATTGAGAATGGAATACAAATAAATGGTTGAAAACGCTTGAATCAATCAAGTGAACTGCTGTATTTCAAAACGATATGACAATTTTTGCTTAAGTATTATGAATAAGATTGGCTTTATACACAGTATTTAAAGTAATAAAAAAAAGATACGAAAAATATTACGAAAATTTCGAAATTTTGTTCATATTGTGTAAACTGTTTAGCAAAAGATATGTTCAAATATAAACTATAACCTTTATTCTTAAGCTTTGCTTAATTTTTTTTATTACAAATTGATATAACAGTCGATTCTTCGAACATTATGAAAAGAAAAAAAGAAAAATATTCCAAAAAGGTATCCAGCGTCCAAAAAAGAAAAACAAAAAACAAAGGCCAGAAAAAAGTCGCCTAATCGACCCGACGTTAGGATATGGCTGACGACACCGAAAATTTAATTGCTATACCGCGTACTGGACCTGTATTTTTTTAAATAAAAACAAGAAAAACGACTGTCTTGCGATTCTGCCGTACGTAACCGATCATACATACATATATACTTGACGCAGTAGGCAATAAGTAATGACGTGGAGAGAAAAAAAAAAGAACAAGAAAAGTGGAACGAACGTGTTGAAGGGAGCAACGTGTTGTGTCGAAACGAAGGAAAGAATGAGATACGAGGGGGAGAAAAAAGAAGTGAAACGAAACGAATGAAAGAGAGGTGAAGAGAGACTGATGATCATTTCAACGGAGAGACTATATAATTCTCGTTGCTGCTGCTTTGACGGGTTTTGTAAAAAAAGAAAAAAAACCACACGCGCATAATATATATATATACACACACATACACCACAGGTACGCATGTACACACATATACGTACACACAACACATCATACATTGCGAAGGTTTCAGGTTTCATTCGCGAGCACGATAACGATCGATAGTCGGTTAGTTAGTCTGTTGCAATTTAGAAAACAGCGACGGGTGTCACTTGTAACGAAAAAGAAAGAACAAAAAATCGAAGAAACTGAAGAAAAATAGAAAGCCAAACGAACCGTCGACACACACACACACACACACACACACAAGAGTCTTGTACATATTATTTTTTTTACTACTTGAAAAAAAACGACCATCTGAACTGTGCTGCGATCGTTCGCTAGACGCGCGTTTTCCAACGAGTTGAACGAGGCGACGTGCGAGCTTCAATGGAACAAAGAGGACATTGTTCAATCTTTTCCCTTTTTTTTTCTTCTTTCTATCTTTCCTTTTTTCATCTCTTTTTTTCTTTTTTTTTTTCTGTTTCTTTCTCGAGTCACGTCTTTTCGATTCTCAGTTCCCCGTCTTTTTTTCACGTTTGCTCTTTTGTCCTTGATCGCGCGTTCGTCTCGTTTATCGCGGAGGAACGATGATCCTCTCTAGCACCGAGCACACGGATGCTTCTCGAGACCTTCGCTTCGCTTCTGAATTCTACAAGATTCAACTGCAGGGAAATAGAGACGAGAAGAGAGTGAGAGAGGTAGAAAGGAAGAGAGAGAAAAAGAGAGAGAGTGTGTGTGTGAGAGAAATGCGTTCTATGTATTCGCCGCCAGATAGCGTCGATATTTTTTAAGAACGAATTCCTGTCAGAGAAAATAAAATATTGGTTAGCAACAGGTGGTAAATACAGTTGATTCCTCTATTTCCATGAGAATTCTGTTCGACTTGGTAAATATTATTTCTACTTCAATGCTTCGAGGAGGAATATTTGATATACAGTGTTTTTTTTTAACTGGAAAACTGAAGCTATCGAAAAAATGTCCTTGCAAAAGTTGTTTGGTGCGATGAGTAACCTTATGCTTCTTCGCGGGTAAAGTAGCGAGGGAGATTTCAAGGTTAAGTTTATTTTCCAAGTGGTTCAATTAAAAAGGACACCCTGTAGAGTAGTTCAGAAAGTGTGTTGAGGACAAGTGATGAAATATTATGAGTATAAATAAGTTCCCGCGGTTTTCTTCACAATTAGTTCTGTTTTCATAATTCGTAAAAAATAATTGATAAAATAATTCAAAAAATGTATTGAAAACGAATGATTAAATATATGAAGTAGCAAAAGAGACAATTTACCAGTGATCAAATTATTTGTGGTTGTATATTTCGTGAAAGATAATTGATAAACTAGTTCGAAATGTGTACTGAGAATAATTGACAAAATACATGTAGAAAATTTAAGAGAAACCAGTCAAAGACAAAGACAAATTGCAATATTATTTATAACTTTATATTTCTTAAGGAATAATTCATTAAAATAGATTGAAACGTGTAACGAAGATAATTGGTTGGGCAAAGAATTTGCAAGAAAGTATAGTTAAAGGTGCAGTTTGTAGTGACAATAGACCAGAAACAACAGTAAATTGCAAGCAGATAAAGCTGTTCAAATAGAGGCCACCTTTTCAAAAGCAATATTTCACTTTTACAAAGTAGAAATCGATGTATCTTCCACGTGCGTAGCGAACCAGCGTAATCGCTATCGTCAGTGTCATCATCGCATTATCTCTGAAAGCGCAGCCTGCCTGCATTACCTGAGCACATACCCGCCGTCATCTTTCTAAACTAGTGAAGGTAAAATAACGCTCAATTTGCTTTATCATTACGCTGGATTCCGGTCACATCCCTTTAT